TTCACAAAAATAAAGCGTCTCACATCGCCGCCGGACAACCAAAACACCCAACATCGCCGCTGGAAAACTAAATCACCTGACATCGCCACCAGAAACAAACATCCAACATCGCCGCTGGAGAACCAAATTACCTGACATCGCTGCCAGAAAAACATCCAACCTCGTCGTTGGGAAAACAAAGATATCTGACATCGCCGCCAGAAAAACATCCAACCTCGCCGCTGGATAAAAAATCATCTGACATCGCCGCCAGAAAAACATCCAACCTCGCCGCTGGGAAAACAAATCATCTGACATCTCCGCCAGTAACAAACACAAACTTAGTAAGAGAACTCTGACATCACCGTCATCAACCATAAATCCGACAAACATCTGACATCGCCGCCAGCTAACTATAACTCTAAGAAACACCCGACATCGCCGTCAAGTACCTGTGGGGATACAGAACTCTGACATTGCCGTCAGACAACCACGGTGCTAATAAACCTCTGACATCGCCGCCAGGCAAACATAAATCTAATAAGCATCTAACATCACCGTCAGACAACCATATTTCTGAGAGACTTCTGACATCGCCGCCAGACTTTCGCTAAATAAAATCGAGCATAAAAATCCACATGAAGTTTAGATCATCCACTGATAATAATCATAGAGAAACTTCTGACATCGAATGGATGAAAAGAAACCGCTTTGAGACGTTCAAGGTAAAAGACGGTTGAATACCAAAGAACCCGGAAATTTGCAAACCGCAAAAAAACCTCTGACATCGCCGTCAGTCATCAACCAAGTAAAACATATGACTTCGCCGTCAGAACTCCGCATAAAATTGGTAAAACACCTGACCTCGCCATCAATTCTCAAAATAATCTGACTTCGCCATCAAAATCTCAAAAATAATCTTCTGACTTCGCCGTCATTTCTCAAAATCATCTGACTTCGTCGTCAGGCCTCGACATCAAGTCGGTAAAAGCATCTGACATTACCGTCAGAGTGAAGAAATCCGTTGAGGAAATATGAACTTGAATAAATAGACTCTGCTTGAGAGAATGATAAGATGAACACATCTGTCAATGATCTTGCTGGAGGCCTGGATACCACACAGGCTTGAGAAATATATCGATAATTGTTGGTGATACAACCAAAATCAGAGAGGTAACAACCTGGATTATGTTTCACATGCACATGTTTGAATACGGTGTAATGCTCCATACGAAATGGAAATGCTATGCGTTTGGGAGGATGCTATGCACGATGCAAATGCAAAGGAACCACTTTAGCAAAATAAATGCTCAAGAGAAGGAGCAAACTCCGCTGGGGGAAGACTAGGCACGCCTAGTGCAAATGGACTCACGCTGGGGAATACAAGCCTTGGATGGCCTCCGAGAGAACTTTTGGGTAAAACTGCTCTGCTAAACACAAATCCACTCTGTTGGGAATCAAAATCGAACTCTGCTGGGGAAGATGGCCTACCAGAATACAACTCTTCTGGGGAACTAACAACTCTGACGAGAATCAAAGCAGACTGCTGAAGATTTAATCCACTATCTGTTAGGGATTATGAATAATATCTACTGGAGAATCATCCCAAGCTCTCTTTTTGCTGAGGATGGAGATAAACAATCTCTGAGATAATCTCACCCTGTGGGGAAGACAACTACTCCTCCGACTTGGCTGGGGATTAGGCAATTAGGGAATCAGCATCGACCTCTGCTTGGGGAAAATGAGCACAAAAACTCAACAATAACAACTCCTGCTTGGGGAATGAGTCAAAGACCTGGACTCTGTGGGGGCAACAACACTGCACTCGTCCCACTGCTGGGGAAATAAACCCAAATCTGCTTGTCGGAGAAAACTTCAAACTCAATCCACTGGGGATGGTTGCACACAATTCATCTCTGGTGAAGTATTTTGTCTTTTGTGTTGTGAAACGAATTCACATTTTGAAATAACAACCAAGCTAAACATTTCATCTTTGTGTTTTATGTTTAACTAAAACATAGAAACAATAATAATAGAAATATACACTTAAGTTCCTGACAAGTGTGTTATGTAAAAGATGGATAGAAAGTTGGACTTTGTATATAAAACAAATTTTTTTACTAAGGTTTACATTGGTTTTAATATGGCTACAACAACTAAACCACAATTGGACTATAATAACTAAACCACAGTCGGACTACAACAACTAAAACATATATGGTAACCACATTCGGAATACAAGTTATGATGAAACATATATGGTAATCGTTTGAATTCTATGAATATTTCAGTGGTATCACATTTCAAACAACATTTTCAGTTGTAACTACATTTCTAACAACATTTTAGTGGTGAGAGATGAACACTTCTATGAGAGATGAACATTTCAGTGGTATTGCATTTCAAACAAAATTTTAGTGGTAACTACATTTATAATAACATTTCAAATAACATTTTAGTGGTGAGAGGTGAACATTTATATGACATATGAATATTACATACCTCAAACGTGATGACGAAGCTTCCCAGAATCTTGAAAGAGATGATGTTGAAAGAGTTTATGCTGAAAAGAGATGATGTTCGAGTTGATAATAGAAGAGTTTTGATGAAAATCGCCTAGGGTTTTTTGAAACGAATTACGATGAAACGTTAAGTGTTGATAGGTAAATGAAAAGTTAGGGTTTAGTTCTCTAAAGTATTAATGCAAAAGATCAAGCATGCAAGCTTTTAGGAAAAATCAAGGGAATATATCAATTAAGAAAATATAAAAGCCCCATATAACGACATATTCTGAGAGTTCATTTAAATTAACTATTATGTCTGTTTTTAGTAACAACTGAGGAAAAAGATTAATTAATAATTAAAAATAATATAAATAATGTATAAAAAATATTTGAAAATGCTAATGCAAACAATATAACCCTTCAGTTGGCCCATATAACAGAGGGTAATACAAATAAAAAAATAAAAATAAAAAAGAGAAAAGAAAAAGGTGTCATGTGATCGTAGACCAATTAAAAAAAACAAAACGCAGTAACTGAGATTCAAATAGAACTCCCTCTATATATTCCATCAGTTTTGGTGATAATTGAAGATATATGTTGTTTATATTTTAAAATATAAATAATAAATAAAATAAATAATAATATTATAACAACATATACGTTGGTTATTGGTGAGTCGAAATGAAAATTTCATATCATAAGTTTTTTTATTTGTAGTAATGTGAGAAGGTCTTACTGACCTTCCTTTTGGGCCTTAATCCAGGACTAAAACAAAAAGCGTGTTTGGTTTTCTTATTTGTAATATTTTTTTTTAGTCAAAGATTTTATTTGTAAAATTTGTTTTTATGAAAATAATAAAAAAGGTTTAACTTTAATATTTTAATTTTTAAAATATTTGTTAACATGTTAAATAATTAAAAAATATAAAGGATTCATTTTTTAAAATCATAAAATATCATTTAATATATATTTAATTACACATAATTTTTAAATATATAATAAAAATTTTAAGTTCTTATAATTAAATATATAATTTAATCACCGACTTAATTTTTTTTGGTTGAATTTAGTCTAACCGAATGTTTGACTCTTGTAGTGAAATAGTTTTATTTGATGATAAATTTTTTAAAATAAGTTATAAAGTTTTTTAATCTAATATTTTAATAATCAAAATTTCACCACTTAATAACTAAAATATCATACATTCCCATTAGTGCCCCTTCCATATATGTTAACGAAAGAGTTTAATAAAAATAGACTGACATAAAAATGTAAAATAGTTTTACACTTTCATCTAATAAAAATATATCATTATATTATATTATACAAGTAATTTAAAATTCTCAGCCTAACTTAAAACCGACCCAATACATCTTGAGGCCTTAGTTAAAATTTAAAATTTAACATTATAATATAATAATAATATTTTTTAAAGTAATATATTATAGATATTTTAGTATGTAAAACCATTAAATTATTATAATCAATTTTATTTAATATATTATTTTAATTGATAATAAAATTAACTCGTCTAAACACTCTTCTCGTTATTTAAAAAAATAATAATTGTAAAATAATGCTAAAAGTATTTTAAAAAATTAGATATCAAGTCTCCTATTATGTTAAAGAACTCAAAAATATATTATCTATATATGTGATTTTTAAATTAACAAATTAAACAAATTAAACAATACACGTAGTCAATTTTTTATTACTATTAAACAATATATTATCTATACAAATTTTTAAAAATTAATTAGTTAAAGTTATATAAATATAAAATAGAAATTTGAAACCTTAAGTTAGCTTTAGAGACCTACCCTTAAAGCCGGCCGTACAAAATTGTTGTTGATTGGTAATATAAAATTAATTTACAGTTTATATTTTATTTTCTCTTAACGAAATTTCTCTATAATATCATTGTGGCAAGTGTCTCACGTATTTAAAAAGACCAAAATATATTTATATTTTTATCAATTCTTTCAAAACTGAGAAATTGATAATAGATTTATGTTGTAAAATATTTACCATTTCAATGATTTTCACCACAACTTTTTGCCATTTACACACAGAAAAGTGAAAAAAAAAAAAAAAAAACTAATACAAAAGCTGAAAATTATTCCTATAGTCCCATTTCTTGAAAATATATATATTTTTTAGATTCGTCAAATAATTGGTTAAATTTAATTTATCATTATAGACCGGATACTTGAATAATTTAAAAAACACACATTTTTTATAAATGGGATTAGAGAATAAACAAGGAAAACTTATATATTTGTCTGGTTTATAACAAAAATAAAATAATGGAATGACTTTAAAAATGGAAAAGTGTTTTGAGAAATATTTTAGAAAAATGTTTCAAAACTTTTTTAATATTTTATTTCTTTAAAAAAAAGAATTTCTTTTTCATTAAAAAAGTAGATGATCTATGAATAAATATATATAGAGTGCAATGTTACACGAAGAGAGACACATCAAAGAAGCACACGACATTGTTACTATAACACGGTAACAATGGAGACATTGAATTTCCTCTTAATAACCTTAACGATTGTCATGTCTATTTCAACAACAACATCACAATCACCCATTCAAAATTTTATCAATTGTTTTTCTCCTAATTCCTCTGTCTCTCAAGTCATTTACACACCAAACAAACCTTCATTCTCAACCATCCTCAACATGAAAATACTTAACAAGATATTTAAACAAGCAACAACACCAAAACCCTTGGCAATTATAACTGCAAAAGATGCTTCTCATGTCCAAGCAACAGTTAAATGTGCCAAAAGTAACAACATTCAAATTAGAATCCGAAGCGGCGGTCATGACAGTGAAGGTTTCTCGTACGTATCAGATGTGCCTTTTGTTGTACTCGATACATTGCATCTCAATTCAGTTGATGTCAATGTACAAGAAGAAACAGCATGGGTTGAATCAGGTGCAACAAATGGTAAGATTTATTATACCATTGCAAAGAAAAGTGATTCGCTTGCTTTTCCAGCTGGGGTTTGTTTTACTGTAGGTTCTGGTGGTCATTATTCTGGTGGTGGATATGGAAATTTGATGAGAAAATATGGTCTTTCGGTTGATAATATCATTGATGCAAAAATTGTTGATGCCAGCGGAAACATTCTTGACAGAAAATCAATGGGAGAAGATCTATTTTGGGCTATAAGAGGTGGTGGTGGAGCTAGTTTTGGTGTTATTCTTTCATGGAAAATCAAATTGGTTCACGTTCCTCCACAAGTTACTGTTTTCAATGTCTCAAGGACTGTGGATGAAGGTGCAACTAATATTGCTTACAAATGGCAATTTGTTGCACCAAAATTCGACAAAGATCTTTTCATTAGAGTCGTTCATAATGTTGTTCAAATTGGTGAAACAGGTAAAAAGACGATGCAAATTAATTTTGTTGGTCAATTTTTGGGGACAGTTGAAAGGCTTTTACCTTTGGTGAGTGATAGTTTTCCAGAATTAGGTTTGAAGAAAAGTGATTGCATAGTAATGCCTTGGATTAATAGCACTGTTTTTTGGTATGATAAACCAGTTGGCACTCCAATAGAATCAATGTTGGAAGGTCCAAAAGAATCTGATGCCATGTATTTCAAACGTAAATCTGATTATGTGAAGAAACCTATTCCAAAGGAAGTTATAGAATCTCTATGGAAGTTGATGATTGAAGGTGAGACTATGTTTGTGCAATGGAATCCTTATGGCGGAAGAATGGAGGAGATATTGCCATCAGAAACACCGTTTCCTCATAGAGCAGGGAACTTGTTCATGATTGGGTATTTTAATAATTGGATTGACGAATCTCATGGAAATACTAAAATTCATTTGAACTTTTCGAAATCGGTTGAAGAATTCATGACTCCCTATGTCTCAAATTCTCCTAGGGAGGCATTCCTCAACTATAGGGATGGTGATGTTGGTGTTAATCAACATAGTAATGTAACGAAATTTGACATTGCTAGAACTTATGGAACTAAGTATTTCAAAGATAATTTTGAAAGATTGGTGAGTGTGAAAACTAAAGTTGATCCAGAGAATTTTTTTAGATATGAACAAAGTATACCTACTAGGATATAGGTAATTTAAAAGTCACATCTAGTGTGAAATCTCAATGAAATAAACGGTATTATTATTATTATTATTATTATTATTATTATTATTATTATTATTATTATTATTATTATTATTATTATTATTATTATTATTATTATTATTATTATTATTATTATTATTATTATTATTATTATTATTATTATTATTATTATTATTATTATTATTATTATTATTATTATTATTATTATTATTATTATTATTATTATTATTATTATTATTATTATTATTATTATTATTATTATTATTATTATTATTATTATTATTATTATTATTATTATTATTATTATTATTATTATTATTATTATTATTATTATTATTATTATTATTATTATTATTATTATTATTATTATTATTATTATTATTATTATTATTATTATTATTATTATTATTATTATTATTATTATTATTATTATTATTATTATTATTATTATTATTATTATTATTATTATTATTATTATTATTATTATTATTATTATTATTATTATTATTATTATTATTATTATTATTATTATTATTATTATTATTATTATTATTATTATTATTATTATTATTATTATTATTATTATTATTATTATTATTATTATTATTATTATTATTATTATTATTATTATTATTATTATTATTATTATTATTATTATTATTATTATTATTATTATTATTATTATTATTATTATTATTATTATTATTATTATTATTATTATTATTATTATTATTATTATTATTATTATTATTATTATTATTATTATTATTATTATTATTATTATTATTATTATTATTATTATTATTATTATTATTATTATTATTATTATTATTATTATTATTATTATTATTATTATTATTATTATTATTATTATTATTATTATTATTATTATTATTATTATTATTATTATTATTATTATTATTATTATTATTATTATTATTATTATTATTATTATTATTATTATTATTATTATTATTATTATTATTATTATTATTATTATTATTATTATTATTATTATTATTATTATTATTATTATTATTATTATTATTATTATTATTATTATTATTATTATTATTATTATTATTATTATTATTATTATTATTATTATTATTATTATTATTATTATTATTATTATTATTATTATTATTATTATTATTATTATTATTATTATTATTATTATTATTATTATTATTATTATTATTATTATTATTATTATTATTATTATTATTATTATTATTATTATTATTATTATTATTATTATTATTATTATTATTATTATTATTATTATTATTATTATTATTATTATTATTATTATTATTATTATTATTATTATTATTATTATTATTATTATTATTATTATTATTATTATTCTTCAAAGATCTGGTATGTATAACATCGTTATTCATGTTATATTAATGTTGTTGTTGTTTTTGTTCTTGTTTGTTATTTTTGTTTTTTGTTGTTACTTAGACTCGAAACCTTAGAGGTTTGATCTTGTTGTTGTTGTTGTTGTACGTTGTTGTTTAAACTGAGATGATGTTATATGTTATTGTTTTTGTTGGGATAAATACGTTATAGATTTATTAAGATTGAAGTTATAGGTTTCTTGTTAATTTTGTTGTAACTTTGTTAAGACATTATTTTTAGTTGTTGTTTAATATTAGTTGTTGTTTAGATTAAGATAATGTTAATGTTGTTATTTATTGTTGTTTTTGAGTTGTTGATTTTATTGTGTTTTTGAGTTGTTGATTTTATTGTTGTTGTTGTTGTCTAGTTGTTATACTTAGAAATGCTTTCAAATTTATATGTTTAGTGTTTGGTTGTTATTATTGAGTTTGAGTTTGAGACTAAAATTATGCTTTTTGTGATTCTTTGTCTAGCTCTCATCTCGTACCTCCGAACATGTCAAGAGGATATTATAGTGACAGAAAATAAAACTGAGTTTATTATATCTAATATCCATTATTTATTTCACTAACTCCTTCTTGAACATATAATCTTTTAAATTAGTTTTGGAGATAATAATATGAAAAATTTATGTTTTGTTTGAAAACATCTAACACTAATCAATGTTATTTGAGCATTATGCAACTCTTTGTTCATCTCACATTATTTTATGGTTAAAATCTCTTCAACACTTCTAACTTTTGTTCAACTTTCTTCCATACTTGTTTGTTGAAAAAGTATTGAAGAAAGTTGAATGAAAACAAGGAGTATTGGAGAGATTTTAACCATTAAAGAACGTGAGATGAATGTTGAGTTGCAAAATGCTCGAAAATATTAATTAGTGTAATTTTTCTTCAAATGTAATTGTTTATATAATTATTTTGTAAACCAATTTGAAATGTTATATTTTCAACTATGGCTAGATGATACAAGAAATCCACATTAGATATGATAAAAATCAAGTTGGTTTTACCCGTCGGTTATTTTTCAAAACCGAGGGGATATATTTTTTTCGCAGTTAAAATTCCTTGAAGGTTCTCAGTGGAAATCGAACCTGTGACCATTGACACTTTAACTCTCAGTTATTTAGAAATCGATGGGTATAGTGACAATTTTTTATGTCTCCCTTTGAAACATCGCTTGTGTAACCGAATTAATATTCCTTTTACACTAAAAGTTAAATATGTTTTTTGTAGTAGTAATATTTTTGTTTCAAAGGCTCAACTCACTTGTTTTCTTCTTCTTTTACTTAGATAAATTATATATATAAGGGAACATTTATTTATAATATATTAAATTTGAAATGTGACTCAATGAAAATCCAATGAACGAAAAATAAATTAATTCCAACTAATTCTTCTTTATTCTTTGTCACATGTCATCATCAATTTTGTTGTCTTGTCACTCTTCTGGTCTTACTTCTAAACCTGATGATTGTTTTTATTTCATATATAAATGACCTAAACATTCTAATAATTATTTATTCCAATACAACTAATGACAAATAAAATATCTTACATATCTCTATTGTCCTCTTACCCATCATCTTCGATGGAAACATGCTGGGGAGTTTGAGGAGCATCCTAAGTGTTTTTAATTATCATCAACATAAGCTTTTGACATTAAGGAGGATAAGGGGTACTTGTTAAAACAGTGGTAAAGTGTCGGGTTTGTATTATCGTCTCCACAGGGAATATAAGATTTTGCCGCCGTTCGACAGTCGTTAAATTCGTAGTTTTATAATATCAAAGGGGTTTGGTTTTTCAAGTCGGTATCTTGCATACAAAGTTATAAACAACGGTAAAAATTAGGGTTTGTCGGTTTGAATAAAGATTGCCAAAGTTAGGTTTCGATAATCACTTTGCATGCATAATTTCAATCAACATTCCATAAACTCTTTTTAATGATCAACACATTCACAATATCCTCCCAATATGATTATCTCTAACTCATATTGTGATGTTTACCATTTTGATCCATTGTTGATCTCTCACACAATCTATCAAAATGACAACTTTAAAGCTTAACATTTTAAGTGAACAAAATCATCCAAGACTATCTCTAGCTCAAGAAAAGAAAAGGATGAAAACCTAGGTCAAGAGTTGGGAAATATTTCTCAATCATTAACCAACACAAAAGATTGTAAATGAAACAAGGTTTTCAACATATATTAATCATCCAAGAGTTTACAAATGAAGATCATCCATACACATACAAAGTTAGATGATTACCTACATCTAACCTTGACAACAAAATGAACTTAGCTACTCATTTTCATGGTAGCTTGAAGTAAAAGAAAATGGAGAAGATGAAGAACATCCACTTCGAAGAATCGATGAAGGATGTGATTCCACTTCTCCTTGATTGCACAAAATCAGTAAAAATGAAGAAGAACTGATGTTTCTAGGGTTCTAGAGCTCTATTGTAATGTTACAAGATTCTCCTCCAAAAAATGCCAAGTATGGGCTATTTAAATCAACTAACAAAGTACAAAAGATGTGCTGTCTGCGCACATTCGCCAGGCGAACCATGACCTTTGCCAGGCGAACCAAGTAAAACTTGGCACTTCAAAGTGCCTCAGGTTAGAAAACCGCCCTCTGAGGTATCGTGTATTCGCCAGGCGAACGAATCACTCGCCAGGCGAACATTCGCTGGCCTCACTCGCCAGGCGAACTTTGGGTGGTTTTGCTACTGGAATCTGCATGAGGAAAGCTACCACTTCTTCGCCAGCACCTTCGCCAGGAGAAAGGTAGCGAAGCTTCGCTGGTACGTTCGCCTGGCGAACTTCCTATCATTTGAGTCTGGGAGTTAATTCTGAATTATTCGCTCCAGCTCGCCAACACTCGCCGGGCGAACCTTCGCTGGAACTCGCTGAGCTTCGCCAGGCGAATGCCTTGATTTGCAACATTCTCCAAGCTGCTTTGTCTTGTCTCCCAAGGTGCTCTTATTAGTGTCAATCCTGCACACTAACAGCAATATTACACACACCATTCACTTGGATCATATCAAAATGAAAGTAAACAAATTTGACCACTAAATCAAATACTATTAGATAAAAATGATTAAAAATACTACTAAAAAGAAGTCAAATAACTAATCTAATTGGGATCTAACAACTCTCCCCAACTACTTATTTGCATGTCCTCAAGCAAAGTATGCCTCTCAAAACAAAAAGGAGGATTTGCTCAAGACCAATTCAATCCAAGTGAAAATATTCGGCTCAAATACACAACATGTGCAACAAGGCAAACAATTACACAATTCCAAAATAGATAATGTTCAAGAACTAAATTCTAAGAACAATTTACACAATGCTTCAAGCAACAACTAAATCTCATGACATGTCATTCTAACACTCCACTTCGAAAAAGGATTGAAGCAAAAACACGCTTGCAAGCGTGGGACAAAAATTCACTTAAATGACGAATAATGCAATACTATATAATTCATACAATATCTAAATGTTCACAATAAAATTATGGAAGCTCAAGATCACATAGGACTTAAAGGGTTGTAGCTTGGTCGGGTTAACAAACAA